ACCTGGATCTCCTCAGACAGTCTAACTCTGCTGATCCTGGGAGCCCTCCGCTCTCCTCCCAGTATCACCAGTTAGTCCCAAACAGGTTTGTTATGGATCCGTGCAGCAGGGAGCGGCCGCCAACGTTCGCTGCACATACCGCCGCCGAGCCTCTGAGCAGAACCAGCGCTGACAAAACGCTGAGCTTAGCAGCACTGGGAGCAGCTGCAGGGGCCGGGACAAAAACTACAATCAGACCGCACAGGGCAGCCATGTTGGATTCTATTGGAGCAGAGTCCTGGCATGAAGCTGGGCCTCGGTCCAGTTCCCAACAGAACCTGCTGAGATGGACCTGGAGGAGCTGCATTCCCAGAGAGTCAGCAGTGGAGCATCAGCTGATCAGCTGAGAGGGATTAGGATTAGGCAGCCATGAAAAAACTAATGATGAAGAAGAACAGATTAGCATTAGCTACGCTACTAGTTTGCTAATGCTAATCCTCAGTCTGTCAGAGAAAAGAAAAACTATGACCCAGGAACTGGACCAGAACCAGGAACTGGACCGGGACCAGGAGCCGAACCGGAACCAGGAGCTGGACCGGAACCAGGAGCTGGACCGGAACCAGGAGACCAGACCGGAACCAGGAGACCAGACCGGAACCAGGAACTGGACCGGAACCAGGAGACCAGACCAGAACCAGGAGCCCGGACCGGAACGAGGAGCCCAGACCGGGACCAGGAGCCCAGACCGGGACCAGGAGCCCGGACCGGGACCAGGAGCCCGGACCGGGACCAGGAGCCCGGACCGGAACCAGGAGCCCGGACCGAGACCAGGAGCCCGGACCGAGACCAGGAGCCCGGACCGGGACCAGGAGCCCGGACCGGAACCAGGAGCCCGTACCGGGACCAGGAGCCTGGACCGGGACCAGGAACCCGGACCAGAACCAGGATTGGAACCAGGAGCCCGGACCGGAACCAGGAGCCCAGACCAGAACCGGAACCAGGAGCCTCTTCAGGCATTGTCCTTCTGACAGGTCGAGGGCCGTTGGATGGAGACCTGCTGACGTGTAGATCAGGTACTGAGAGGCTCCTGAAGCCTGAGAGGATTTTCAGGCTGAGGAGGAAAAAAAGGGGCGGGGTCTACAGGGTCATAACAAACCAGCATGAGTCAGAGGGGACGCCTCCTCCCATCAGGGGCCACGGCGGTCCCTCTGAGTCCTGTCCTTCCTGCCTCCAAACAAAGGCAGGAGGACGGACATGGCGGGTCCGGAAACGGGAGAGGACATCCTTCAGAAACGTCAAATTGGACCCTACAGGATAACGGCTGAGGTCCGGCCATGGTTCTGGATTCTACTCTGATGGAGCGGCCGTTTCCATGGCAATAAGCAGAAATGGTGCCGATGGCGGTTCTGCTGTGTTGGACAGAAGCAGATGAAGCAGAGTGGATCAATAATTCCCATAATGCAGCTGGGTTCTGGTCGCAGCGAGGAGGAGACGTCGATACGCAGGCCCGCTGGGTTTCTGCTCGGCCGCTCGGGTCAGACCTAATCTGCTCTGGCTCCACGTTCCTCTGCCGGGTCAATAAAGGTCAAAGGTGAAGCCGGAGAGCACTGACACCCAAACACACTCCTGATCCTGCAGCAGGTCCAGAACCCAGCAGAACCTCCAGAGTCCCGGCCCAGTGCACCAGAACCCGGCTGTGGAAAAGCATCGACCCGCTGCAATCGATGGGCCTTTCTGACGCGCGTTCCAGCGCGGCGTGCAGGGTCACAGCGACCTTCAAACCGCTCCACTCCCAGCAGCTTCAAAGGCAAGCTGACCCCCCCCCGCCACCACTGGACCCGGGCCAGCCCAGCGCCTCCTTCACGGGCCTCTCTAATTCCCAGGCGCTGAAAGCCTGACCCGTCAGGTGGAGGACGGCGGCCAGAAACAAAGGAAGCGTTTTCCTCCATGAACGGATCCAGAGAAACCAGATGAGGGGAAAGATGGCCGACGGCGACGGGCCATTCCCTGATGAAACCAGAGGTTCTACCGTCTGGTACCGAGTGAGCTCAGACCTGAGGGAGGGGAACCCTGCAGACCTGAAGGCAGTCAGGGTGGAACCTGGATGATCCGCCCCTTCAGCCTGCAGGACGCCGTTAGAAACCGTTAACCAGGTCGCTTCAGATAACCAGAACATTCAGAACCAAGGTTTCACTTTAAGGTTGCTGAGAGGCAAAGAATGGCCGCCAACAAGGAAGAGATTAGGGTTGGCGCCGCCCCAGAACCCCGCACTGCCTTACAGACCGCAGGAAAAACTGGATCAACTGTTTCTGCTTCAACAACACAAACATTCAGGAGTTTTTCTCCTTTATGGAAGTTTGAGGATTTTATGGATTTTTACACCAATTCTTTTTTCCTCCTTTGGTTTTATGAGAGAAATGATAAAAGTTGCTCTAATTTCAAGCATGGCGGCTTTAAGCTGAACAAAATGAGTCGATAATGATTCCAGCTGGAAGCCATGGAAACACGCTAACCGTTAGCAGCTGCTATAGGATCATTTTATCAGTTTAATCAAAGCAACAGGCTGAAGTAAACAAACTACGGAGGCCCAGAGAGGACATTAGTGGAGAATCAAATCAAGCCTGAAATGGTGAAACGCTCATTGATCCGTCATCCAGCCGCCTGCTGCTGCGTTCATCTAAACCTGCTAGCATTAGCCGTGACTCGCTGGCGGGGGGTCAGACCCTCAGAGCATGGTTCACGTAGCGAGCGGATCGGCGACGGCAGTTTTACTGCGGTGGTTCTTAGGGCGACACTTCACTGAGGAATGATGGATTAACATAATAATAAAATACTTTAATAAAACATCTGGAACTTTCTAAAACTCCATCTAATAATCGAAAGTTATGGATATAAACCAGAAACAACTAAAACCAACTAAATGAATGGTTTCTCCAGCAGCTAAGCTCAGCCCCTCCCAGGCAGGACCACAGGTGCTGGGCAGCGTGAGGTCAGGGCCGTTCCTGGACCTGGACCTGGACCAGGACCAGGACCAGGACCTGGACCAGGACCAGGCATCATTTAACCCGTAGCTGCAGCTCCTCTGGTCCACTCTGGGTGCAGCTAGCATGCAGGTGGGGAGTCAGAGGGAGTCAGGTCTGGTTCTGGAGCCTCATAGGGACCCATTTTTCATCATTCTATCTCTATTCTCCCACTCTGCAGAATCTATTAGTTCAATCTCTGTGCTTTTTCCATCATAGTAGCTTTAGCGTTCCTTCCCTGCTGTGAAATGCAGATGTATAAATAAACTGAGCAGATAAGGCTTCTTCAGAACTTTCTACGCTGCCTGGCACTGAATGACTAACTGACCGCCTGCATCTGGACTTGTTAATGGGTCGTGACGTTCACGCTGACTTTCTGTGGAGCCTTTCCTGCTTCCAAACATCTTCTAGCCGTTTCCTAATATTTAGCTCTTTGTGGCCTGCTTCATCTTCCAGCTCATCCAGAACAGATCGGATCACCAGAACCTTCAGATGTGCGGCTTCAGAAACAGGCAGGGAGCTTCTGTTTTCTAGATCTTCTTTTTCAAGCAAAGTAACGTTGTGTTGTAACATGTTTTTGTAGGAAATTGCAGCTTGCCCAACGTCCTGTTGCCCGGCTCCATCACTAAGGTTCCGTCAGCACGGCCCGGCTCCATCACTAAGGGTCCATCAGCACGGCCCGGTTCCGTTAGCACGACCCGGTTCTGTCAGCACGGCCCGGTTCTGTCAGCACGGCCCGGTTCCAGCCCAACTACCACAGCCTGCTGCAGCTGTTCCACCTGCGGAGCAGCTATGGGCGCTTCCTTCCAGCATGGTGAGGAATCAAAGCGGACCCACATGGTTCTGATCTGCAGAACCAGGAAGTGAGAACGTCTGCTGAACGGTTCTTGTTCTACCCTTAGAATCCCAGTTTATCCCACAGAACGATCCCAGTCCATGGATGGGCCCAGCCCACCAACGGGCCCAGTCCATGGGGAACCCAGGAGATGCTGGATCATGTTTATAGACTCGGCTTTATTCATCCACTGGGATAAATCCTTCAGGGAGATTCTGCTTCCAGCATATAGAGTACAAAGAGTTAAAGCAAGAGGCCATTAAGGACGAAATACTACAGACTATAGAAAACAAGCATATAGATGCAAAACAACATTGAAAAAAAATAAAAAAGTTTTAATGTCCTGGAAAATGTTTCCTTTAGAGATCAAACTATCTGCCAGCAGGAAGCGACACTGGGATTATGGCTGCAGATCAGCCGGGTCTGGACCTGATCCGGGCTCACCCTGCATCACTATGACAGGCTACTGGTGGCAGAGCCTGACTGCTCCCACAGCATGACACCCCCTCTACCAAACCCTTTACTGTTGGTGCAGCAGTTTGATTCTAATACAAAATATGTTCAATAAAAACTTTAACAAAACCTCCTGATGAGGAAGACCTGCAGACCCCCTCACTGAGGAAGACCTGCAGACCCCCTCACTGAGGAAGACCT